TATACATTAAAAATGGTCATATTTCACTGTTAAAAGTCAAAATAATGACTTTTTTTTGTTAGAGAACTTTTCCGAAGTAAAGACTCTTTTGTCCACAGGGGGCGCCAAAGTTGACACAAACTTAGAGTTCCTCGTAGGAGCTTTAACTTTATTTCTAGCTGGCTAGCTACAAGCAGGTTAAAATAACATTGCTTCATGTGTTGAACTCATTTTTACTTGTAGAGTGTAGAAGAAAACTTTCTGTTTAATCACACTAATATTTAACATATTTTATTGGCAAAAAAAAATTTTGAAAGAATCGAGCTGACCAGATAAAAATCTGAATTCTAAAAAATGAGACTCAAATATGGTCGCAAAATTGACCAAAGAAAATAGCTAAAGCCACAAATGTGTTTGGCTTGCTAACTCAGAATAGAAGCTAATGTTAGCTTCATGGATCAGTTGACTGGATGGCTTTCTAATGGTGTTGTTTTCTTTTGGATATGATATGATATGATTTTCAGTCAATTTAATTCACGCCAAAAAATTCTCACTGGAGCTTTAAATCGGAATCTGAAAACAAATTGCTCGCCATTGTGCTGGCAAGCTAAATTCGAACATATTTACTGACTTTATTGAAAGGGCATTCTCAAAATAAACATGTTTTTCAACCTGATTATTACCAGTATATATTGTAGCCAAGGCAACGCTTAAAGCTACATATCCTTTATCATTATTTATAATGATACAAGAAGAAGTGTTGTAGATAAATCGACCACACTGCTCTCGCTCATTAGTCTGGAGGTGATAAGTTACAGCCTTGAAATGTAAATATAACAAAATGTAAGGTGAAACTGTCATATTACGCCAACAACGAGCCAATTAACTTAAATTATGAATAATAAAAAATAAAGTAAATGTGATAGGCAGTATTTTTTCTATGATAACCCTGTTCAGATGCTCCGCTAGCAAATAATCTCCAACCTATAACCTCAATAAAAGTGCTAATATGCTTTTTGGCCTTGGATGTAACACTCGGTTCTCGCCGTGCGTTTGATGCTAATAGTGTGGAAATGGAAGTGAAAGCTGAAGTGTTTCTTTTGAAAATGACACAGAATGAAAAACTTTTACTACATTAATACAACAATGCGGTATTAACCTTGTTATGACTTTAACATATGAAGAAAGAAGACGTTTGACAAGCCAGCTGTGCTTCTGACGGTTGCTAAGCTATTATTTGACAATGGCTGTTCAGGAGGGTCAATTATAGGTCTGTCATATTCAACACTCTTTTACTCTGCAGCTTAACAGTTAGCATTTAGCAGTATTAAATTTAGACGAACAAGTTAATGATAGGCTGTATTTTAAGACAGATTTAATAATCACGGCATGCTGCAGCGTATTAAAAAAATCATCTTTACAAGAAGATAAATCTGAAATTTCTGAGCGCATACATTATTGTGCTCTATACGGAGAATAAAGCATGAGTTATATCCAGCGGTACATTATTCTGCGGCTTTATGAGTGATGATGTCTTCCCTTGTGGCCTATTGATCTCCGTCTCCAGACAGAAGTTGACGCGGCGCATTAGCATTGTTTAAGAAATATAATATCCAACAAGCTGCTGATGAAGACTTTCCCAGCGCTGTTTGGTCAGCAGAAAAATCCAAAACGTGGGCTCTGAATTTAATGTGTCAAAATGAGACAGAATTATGGATCATCAGCACCAAAGGCTTTTAATGCGCTTGCAGCCTGAGCCAAATGAAAAGCGATCGCTTTGCACGATGGGATTGTAACATTATTTAAAGACTTTAAAAACACTGTTGGTGGCCCTTTGGAGGCAACTTAGATTTTAATAGAGGCATTAGATGGCCCAGGGGTGAGAGACGCTTTTTGAGATGTCTGGAGTTGTGTTCATGGAGTCTTTTTTTTCCAGAGAAGTAGAAGCTAAAAAAGATGAACTTGAGTCGAAATTCTTAAGTTATTCCTGTGCGTGTGCGCTGTTGCCACACGGCTCTGCCTCTAGGGCGAAAATACAGCTCTTTATTTTCTCATGTAAATAAGCAGAATGCTTTTCTGCAAGGCAATAGTATTTGCTGAATATCTACAAAAACAACAGTAGTCCCCTGTGCCGTATCCCAGTGAAACACATTTATTTATAAAGTGATGATAATACAGCTGTAAAGACAGTAAGCAAGAAGCCAATTACTTATCCCCTTTTGCAGGATGTGACCCAGCGCGGTCAAAGAGGTAAGCAGATGAGGTCAATCGCTCTCGAGGTGTTTTCAAACGGGCTCAGAGACGGGAGGAATTAAAAGTAGAGAGAGAGAGGAAAGGTGTTTTTCCAAGTCAGCAAGTCCCTAAGCTCCAACCCAGGACTCCTGGGCCCTGCGTGCACACATCACCAAGAAGCTTACTAATGAGGCCAATCCCGCCAAAAACTCACAAGGCAGCACTCTTCAACTTCTTTCTTTGTGGGTTTTTTTTTAGGGTGTCCCTGCTGGGAATGGAGCCCCCTTAACCATGTTCTTGCTTGGCCTAGCAAACAAGGGCAACTCTAATGAGGTTGACCATTTTTTTTCTCCCCCCTTACAGTTGTTAGTAAGACACGGTCCTTACACAATGCTGCTCAACTTTCTTAGGTAAGCACTGCTGTCGTCACCACATCCCAAAAATACAGCGGCGGAGAGGGAGAGCTATTATTAGGATGTGCAGTGACAAGTGAGTGACACTAACTTATAACCAATCAGAGCATCCCGGCGAAAAGTCCCTCTAATGGGTCAATCAGTGAACTTTTTTAAGAACATAAGTGGGAAACACAGCCCAACAAAAACTTTACCCATAAGTCAATATTGTTTCAGGTAATGAGGTGTCATTTGGATCACTCCATCTGGCAGCAGCGAGGAAAGTACATTCAAGTAAGCCCATTACAATGTGCATCCTCTGCATGTCAACTAGGTTCAGATTGCTCCAACTGGGTGATCAACTCATTAGAAACAGTAAAATGGACACATTTTTAGCAGAGATGGCGATGGCAACACTCCAGCCTTCTCTAAGTGCCAGTCAAGGCTGTCTGCCTGTTGTTACGTCCTTACAGCTTCATCCCCCCCTGCGTCCTCTGGAGGAAATGATGGCCACATAGACAGAAGTTATATCTCAGCAGAGGCCTGTGTGAGGAACTTTTGCTTCAAGTATTGTCACACTGTTGTTCTAGGGTAAATGTAGCTCAGCCTGAGCTGAGGCAAATTTTGGAAAGTGCATGCATGAAATGTTCACACAGCAGACATTTTCTTTGTGTCAGTTAAAGAGTTAAATATGCTATTGTTAGCTGTTGTACTACACTTAACTGGGAATCTCTCACTTTCCTGCTCACTGTCTCCCAATTAGAGCTAATAAGGGCCTGTGTCCACTCACAGCTTTGTGGGCCCTTTCTATACAAAACTAATGCAGTTCAACTATCAACAGCTACAGCTAGTCCTAGGTGTGCCCACTGCACTCTTTTTTTTTTTTTTTTGATCACCTACATTCTTGTTGGTGTCAATTTTTCCAACACAACCAAATCAAAATCAAAAAGGGGGCGTGGCCTCTCATATACATTCTGTCGTCAAGGCTGAGATAAGCATACAGGAAACTACCCAGAGTCATGTTGTAGAGGTATTATTTACAGGTCTAGACCAGCTCAGTGAAAGGGACTCTAAAAATGAGGTGGTGGGTATTCCATTTAAAGCGGTCAGTGGACACAGGTCCTAAATGTTGTTTTATCTTCAAATATGATGATTGTAACAATCGGATTTGTTGTTTTTCAGTGCCGACAGTGTTCAAATGATTCAGTTCGCAACAGAACCACACTGAAACTGAGGTGGTGGGCATTCCATTTGAAGCGGTCAATGGACACAGGCCCTAAATGTTGTTTAAACTTCAGTAATGCTGTGTATAAGTATTAGTTGCTTGTGATTGGTTGTTTTTCAATGCAGAAAGTGTTCAAATGATTCAGTCCTCAACAGAACCACAATTTAAATGAGGTGGTGGACATTCCATTTGAGGCGGTCAGTGGACACAGGCCCTAAATGTTGTTTTATCTTCAAATATGATGTCTGTAAGAATCGGTTGCCTATGATCAGTTGTTTTTCAGTGCAGACAGTGTTCAAATGATTCAGCCTGGAACAGAACCACACTGAAAATGAGGTGGTGGGCATTGCATTTGAAGTGGTCAGTGGACACAGGCCCTAAATGTTGTTTCATCTTTAAATATGCTGTGTATCAGTATGGGTTGCTTGTGATTGGTTGTTTTTCAATGCAGAAAGTGTTCAAATGATTCAGTCTGCAACAGAACCACAATGTAAATGAGGGTAATGCCAGAGGGAAACGTCTGCTACAGAGTAATGAATTTGATTGATATATTACAAATGTGCATAAAAGTAAATGTAGAGTGACAAAAACTGTAATTCATTATCGAGCAGCTATGCTACTTATACCTTGTTCCATCTTCTTCCTTTTCCTTAACTAATTTACAGCTTCAGAGGGGTGTGGCTGAAGTGTCTCCTCATCACAGCTTGCACTTTATTAGTTATGATCACAGGAGAAACTGTGTGCAATGACACGTTTATATAAAGCAGCAAATTAATCTTTCGACTCATCTTCAAATTAAAATGAAAGGAAACAAACTGTCAGCAGAACTTGAGTTAAGTGACAGTTTTCAAACTTATTGAGTAACACAGCTGACCTCATGGTTAGAAGTTTTATTTTAAACCAGTGGATTAAAAAAAGAGACTGTAAAACTACGTCTTATTCAACAGGAACTTTAATTGTCATGCTGTGTTTGTAATAATAAGATTATATTTATTTGATTCCATTGGTTGTTTATCATAAGGTGGTAAAAATCAGCATAGGAGTTGATTTTCTTGCTTTCCACGACTAAAAAACAACATGAGTGGACAAAAACTTAACTCTCTTAATGATATGGCGGCATAGGTTTCTAAATTATTCAAACTAACTTCCCCTGGTCGGTCGGAGCGAGAAAGTAGGTTTGTTGTCTGGCATGGCTTCAGCGTATCTATAAATGCTGAAATTGTATATTTCCAAGTCCTTAAAGCATAACTTTATTTGTTTAAAAAGTAAAGAAAGTAGGTTTTCTGCTCAAGAGGTTAAGTTTTTACTTTGTTTTTCTGTTTGCTTGAAGGATTAGAGGAAGAATATTGGCCTGATTTTTACACTCATGAACTGACTTTTAAAATTAATCAAATACATTAGAAATACATTAGAGTATACTGAATAGAGGGAATTTAAAGCAAGTCCCACATTAAGATGAACCCAACAGGCAGTGACTTATCAATATCATATCAATAACTAAAGAAATGGATCATGATGTCTGTTAAAGCGTCTTCGTTCTTATTGGTTTTAGTCTGGGCCGAGATGCAGCAGCCGCAACAGTGCATCTAATAATAACAGAGCCTAAAAATACACAGGTAAATCTCTGCTCGGTAACCGTAGGGACCCGGCTTCACCGTCCACCGAGGGAGCTCGCTGACTAATGAAGTTGGGAAGCTTAGAGCAATTAGACACATCAAAGCTGGAATCTGAAAATTAATTAGGCTCTCCTCTCTCTTTCCGAAGCAGCATCCGCTCATGCAGCAGCTCATTAGCATAGCGCCATCAAAACACGCAGGTGTCCGTGTTGTTGCTGCTAGGACAGCGGCGAAAACGAAGTGTGTTTCACGACGAATCATCAAAAAAATAGACGAGCTATGACTGCTTGACTGACATATCACAAAAGTCTCGATGAGAAGTAGAGTGTTCAGTCAAGAGTCGTCCCGGGTTACATTTGCATTCAGGTGGCGCCATAAGAGCCCTTAAACTTGGGCGTGAACCATCAAAAGCCTCTGAGGGGTCTCTTGTTCACTTTGGATGTCAAAAGAAGCGCTGACATTGACTGAACTCCGGGGTCGTTTTCGGAACTTCATTAGCCACGCGGACGCATTTTCTTCTCTCTTTTTTTTTTTTTGTTCCCCCCCGTGTGAAGTCACATCAAAGCGCGGGCGATCACATGCTCATTCACACTAATGAAGAGCTCCTTCAAACACAAGAGCTCATTATTAACGAACACCTGATTTTAAATGCGAGGTGTATTATGTAAATGACACTCCCCTGACTCTTTTCAGCTTGGTTATGTAGCCTAAATTCTGGAAAAAAGCATTATTTATTAATTTTAGATCTGCTGCGGAGGAATAATAGGGTATTGAATATTTTGTATTTTCTTTGTCCCGGCTCGTTTTACGATGACAAAATCGGTAAATAATGCAGAACTTCCCATTGATCTGCTATATGACAGTAATCAGGCCTTCTTAACCTGTTTCCTCTCAGTAATATATTAATCATTTCCCTCAGCCACTCCGCTGTGAAAATTAATGTAGCCCGGTATGTTTTCCCTTTAGGCTGCACTTTGATTAATGAGCCTGCTTTCTTTCCACGCTACTCTGCTTTTCAACGAGGAAAAAATGCATCCCAATAAAAGTTGAAAAAGTTCACGAACCACCCACGTCCGTCAAGTCTACCTGTTCTGTCGAGACGATTTATTTGCGATTTTTAAAAAAAAGCACCACGTCAACATCAACACAGTGGAGATAATCTCTTTGAGGTGATACTGATTCGAACTCGACGGGAAGTAAGACACAAGTCAGGTTTTCTCGAATCAACACAGGAGAAGCCCCCAGGAAAACAAAAGTTCAGACTGAGGGTGGGAGATAAATCCCAGCTGTAGACAAAGCCTATATTTCTGTGTCCCTGCAGTTTTGCTCTAATCTGTCTCTCTCAGCCCTGTAAGCTATTAAAGGCCAGACAAAGGCAGTCCAGAGTTAAGCACCCTGTGGGGAGATCTTATTTACAGTGTAACTGCCACTTTGACTGCCTGCCACCTCTGTCTTGCTCCTGTGCTTCCTCGTTTTTCCCTCCGTCTACCATTCTTTCACTCTCTCTCTCTTTTCTCATTCTCTTTCGCTTCCATCTGCGACGTTGGGCTTTTAATCTGCAGCAGCTGAAATTCCATCTTTCAGCTTTCAGGGCCCTCGCCAGTTTGAAAGGCTCGGTGTTCAACTTCTTGTTTCTGACTTGGCGTTTAATGGAACTATTGTTCAGTTTGAGGCATGTCCCATTAGAGGGAGGGCTGTGAGCGGGGGAGAAAACATGAGTTATAGGAGGCAGCAGCTCCAGCCAATTCTATCAAGACTCGGCGCCATTAAGAAGGCATCCCCTACCCCTCAATTACGAGTCTTAAAGCATTCGGCAACAAGTTGAAATCTGCAGCAACATAACCGAAATGGTCAGGATTCGATTTAATAAGTTACATCCTAATAAAGTTTTACTTTCCAGACTGTGGAGGAGGACCTGGCACGTATCCACCCCCCCAAAAAAAGAAAAAAAATCCTACTGCTTTGGGATAGAGTACATATGTGGAAAAAAACTATGTTGTGACACTCAGCTTTTCTCCTAACTGTCAGCAAGAAAATACACCCCGGGAAGAGTTCATCATTTGCATAGTGTGGTACCTTTAAAACGGCCTGACACAAGTAATAAAAATGTATTAGCTTGCCAGGACATGGGGGGGTATGTTGTGCTGAGTGTGTTGCCTCACAGTGCTGAATAAGCTACGGCTACAAAACTTCCTCCCAGGTTCGTGACATGATTGTGGGACTGACACTCGAACCCCCTCCTGCTTTTTCCCCCCACTCTAAAAAATGGTTTCTCCTGCTTAAGTGCCTTAGGCTGCGAAGTCTCTCTAAAAATTTTCTGTTCAATTATTAATTCAACAATAAAGTCATCACTCCCCTCCCAAAAATGTGTCACAGTAGCAGCAAAGGCAGGTAAGAATGCAATCTCGGAGAGGAAAAAGTGCTTTATGTATTTAGCATCAACCTAAGCTGTTCCCCGAGGCGAAGTATCAGCACCAAAGGAAATAATAATCACCACTTAAGCTGACTCTTCTAACATGCTCATTATCAGTGGATGTAAATCAGTCAATTAGCATTCAGACCATCGACTTGCAGCTACAGCCCAAACTAAAAGAGCTTCATTATTTTTCATTTCCATTTCATTCTCATAATAAGTCATAAACAGGTTTTTCTCACTGGAGTTTGGGCTGTTTTTCAGATTCAGCATTCAGTGCTGTGGTACTGGTTTGAATGGTAAGAAGGTTTTTCCAATACATTTATATATACCCAACATATAGAGAGAGAGAATCAGAGAGGTCATTATTATCGCATTGTTAACATAGGATGTGTACCTGGTATTATGTGACATAATGGGAGTCAACCAATATTGTTTTTGCAAGGCCAATACTAATACCAATAATACCAACTAATACCTAATACTGACCAATATCAGACCTGGGTATTTTACAGCCCGGGGGTCACATGCGGCCCTTCGGACGTCCCTACCCGGCCCTTCATGAGGTCCGTCAATCAAATCATCAACATGCTATAAAAGTATGTTGCTTTTATTTTGAAAACCTACCTGTTGTTTTATTTCAGTTTGGACGCACGTGTTTACATCGTAGATCTGCATTCGTGAACAGAGACAAGTTTAAACATCGGCAAAACATACATAGGTGGGTTATAGTTGCCAAGTCTGCTTGTCATAAAAGACTTTAAACTTGTTTCTCTCAGAAGTCGCTCGCGGGTGTGATTTTTTGGGCTTGTTTTTAACTAGTAGTTGCTTATTTGGGCTTGCTTTTCTGTATGTGTGAACCCCCCTGATTTGAAGTTGAAGTTATTGTTGGTTCGGCCCTCCAACACAGTTCAGGTTTCTCATGTGGCCCCATGTAAAAATTAATTGCCCACCCCTGACATATATATACCATATACAACTAACTTCTAGGTCAATTAATCAGACCAATTATCTGCGTTTTGACATGATATCAGCCTTCACAAGGCCAATATTACCAATACCTCTTCTATATTAAACATTTAATACAATATTTGATCTGTTATAGTGTAAAGAATAACAGTTTAATGTTGTTTTTGCCATATAATAACCTTGTGTTTTTTTTTATATTAATCAGCATCATTATCACTCAACCATCAACATAATGTATAAATACAGTTAATTACAAATGTCATTATATGACTGATTTGCGATTCATCATTTATTTGTGATACTCTTACTTTGGATGATGTGTCAGATACTATTTGTAATCCTTTGTACAAAAGTGTGTATTAGTCCATACTGACCTATCACCATTCATTTTAATGTAACTTAATTCATATTCAACTCCAAACAATGATCAACTTTCTTTAGAACAAACTTTCCGTCAGAGACGACGACTTCAGCAGCTGTTGACAAGCTGTGGTCTGTCCCATAAATGGGAAAAGCTGTTTATTGAAAGAGACCTGCCCGCAGATCAAACCAAAGCAAAGATAAAGTACCTCAGACAACAACAGTGACAAGCAGCATCTCTCCAGGCCTGGCAAAAAAATTTAGTACATGGAAACAGGTTGGACGGAACAATATGACCCCGGCTCTAACGCACCGACCAAAGATAAATCATTTTCAGGCTACTTTTTAAAAATGTACCTCCTCACTCTTTCAACTCTGTCTGCTGCGCCTGAGACATCGGCGGTGGCCAAGGTCATCCATTGTTCAAACATCAATCGCTCAGAGACTGGCGGCTAAGCTCTAAGCCTCACCCTGACTGGTTCTCTTTTTTTTTTTTTTTGGCGTCTTTTGACTAGAGCGCACAAAAAGGTCCAAAAGGTACAAACTGATGAACCGAAGTGTCAGGTTTTTGTTTTAAAACGTTATCGGGTTTGTTTTAAAGATACCCCAAAAAGAGGATTTTCAATTTTAAAAGACTAACAAAACTGTGTCCAGTGACAGATGGGGAGTTTTCTCATATATCACTCAAAGTTTAATGCTAGATACAGATATTTGGCTTCTTTTTTTACTTGGATAGAAATGTAGGACAGACCACATGGTGGGTGATATGTGGAGAGGTCGATTGCTGAGGAGGCACTGACAGATTTTCCTCATGAAAAAACACAGATTTAAGAAAAAGGGGGGATTAGAAATGCTGTTTTACAGCTCATGAGCATTGTGATATAAGTTTCAAGTAAATGGAAATATCCCAGACTGCAAACTTCACTGTAAACAAAGTAGGGCAACAGCACTTTATCTCCTTTGAACTAAAACTGAACAGCAAAGGTCTGAAGTTATAAACAGACGCAAATAATGACTTGCAATCTGACTTACATGAGAATAAACATCCTTTTGTATTGTAATGGCCCCCTCGACCAAGGACAGCCTCTGAACGTTAGAGGCGGGGGGTTTCTGGGCTCATTAAAAAGAGCCAGTGCAGAACAATTCGATAAATCTGTGTATCCGACAATATTTTATCAAAGCCATCACATTAAACTCATTACAACCGTGAAATGATGGTCTGCAGTGAGCTAAAGTGAGGGGCTGGAGACATACCCTGGTTTAACCAACGCTAACCCCAACACTCTAACCCCGACCCTCTTGATCAGGACAGAACAAACTAAAAGCAAATAGAAAAGATGAACCTTGAAAAAAAAAAAAAAACATGGCTCCACCCAAATGCCAGTAGAGCTACAAAGCTAGACAGCCAAACTGGTTCAATTCAGTCCACATGAAACCTGTTTACACTCTTACAAGTCGGAACCTGGTCTATGTCAAGTGTCAAAGTTTCAGTTTGGGGCGGGAGAAAAAAACCCAGCTTGAAACATGAATTTGAGCAAAAGAAAGCATCATAGAGACAAAGAAGTTTGGCTCAGCAGCATTTTAACAACAACAGTGGAAAGACACAAATTCAACATACCAACAACACAAGCAAAGGCAAGGAGGCCAACAGCATAGCAGCTAGCATAAAACAGCACAAACACACAAATTCAACAATAAACAAGCAAAGGCACAGCGGCTAACAACATAGCAGCTAGCATAAAACAGCACAAACACACAAATTCGACATTTAAAACGAGCAAAGGCACGGCAGCCAACAGCATAGCAGCTAGCATAAAACAGCACAAACACACAAATTCAACAATTGAACCAGCAAAGGCACAGCGGCCTACAACATAGGAGCTAGCATAAAACAGCACAAAGACACCAATTCAACATTTAAAACGAGCAAAGGCACAGCGGCCATTAGCATAGCAGCTAGCATAAAACAACACAAAAAAACACAAATTCACCAATAAACAAGCTAAGGCACGGCGGCCAACAACATAGCACATAGCATCAAACAACACAAAGACACAACTTTTACAGTAGCACAAGCAAAGGCACGGCGGCCTACAACATAGCAGCTAGCATACAACAGCACAAACACACAACTTCAACAATTGAAACAGCAAAGGCACAGCGGCCAACAGCATAGCAACTTGCATAAAACAGGGCGAAGATACAAATTCAACAATAGCACAAGCATAGGCATGGCGGCCAACAACATAGCAATTTGCATAAAACAGCGCAAAAACTTAAAATCAACAATAAACAAGCGAAGGCACAGCGGCCAGAAGCATAGCAACTTGCATAAAACAGGGCGAAGACAGAAATTCGACAATAAAACAAGCGAAGGCACACGGGCCAACAGCAAAGCAGCGAGCATAAACAGACATGAACTTTAAGCCAATAAGAAAAAACAGCGCTTACTTTGAGCTGTCTTGAAATGAAGTCACTCCGTTGTCTTGTAGAGGTCCTCCAGGCGAGCTCCACTTTCTCCTGGTGATAAATCGCAGCCCTGTCCAAAGAGTGTGTCTGGTTAGAAGGAGTTAAACCAAAAAAACTAAGACTTAACTGTAAGACCTTGAAAGCAGCAGTCAACACAGAGCCAACAGTGGCCCAGACAACGACAACAACATAAACTTTAAGCCAACAAGAAAAAACAGCACTTACTACGAGCCGTCCTCTTAAAATAAAGTGACTCTGCTGTCTTGTAGAGGTCCTCCAGGCGAGCTCCACTTCCTCGGCCAGGAACTGAGAGTGTATATTTCAGCAGTTTTTGGGTAAAGTTGGCTCTCTCCTTCTCCTGGTGACGAATCGCAGCCTCATCCAAATAGTGTGTCTGGTTAAAAGAAGTTGGACTACACAGTTTTGGACTCTGTGAGACGATAGAGCAGACTCCTGTCCATATTCATGTATGTGCTGCAGGTTCAACAAAGATGGCCTCAGCCTTTTTAAGACCAAATCCTCCCCACTGTGTTCTCTGTGTTTATCATTCAGGCTCACTTGATAGATGGCTTGTCTTGTGTTTTTCTCTTTCAACATGCCTTTGCATGGTAGTATGGAAAGGTTCTGGACAGGAAATGTTTGTTCCTGAGAGGAGACATTTACTTCCTGAAAACCTGCACACCTGCACTGATAAGCTGCCGGAGTGGGTGGAGTCACAGATCCCAGCCAATTAAGACTGAACAAACTTTTTAGCAGGCCAGCTACTGATCCAATCAGATGATGAGCATTTTGTCTCACCCTCACACTCTGTTAGAAAAATATCACAGTATTTAGAAACACAAATGAAGTAGTTTATTTTTTTTCTACAAACATTACATTCCTTTATAGACAATATCATGAAAGTACAGGTCAACTCAAACTTTATTACAAGGTTGCACAAAAGATGTAAAAAAATGACATTTTAAAGTGCCATGTCAGCAAATTTTTTAAAAAGCTAAAAAAAAAAACTTAAAAAAAAAAATTGAATTTCTAGGGCGCACAGATGGCAGAGTGGGTTAGCGCACCATGGTCCTTGCAGCAGTTGTGGGTTCATGTCCTCACCCATCTCTCTCTGTCTCCCCACATTTTGTCTTGTCAATAAATGCTAAAAATCACCTCCAAAAAAATACTTAAAACAAGAAAAACATTATGTTTCTACAGGATACACTTAGTGTGAATAGCATTACATCATACCCACTAAAATTGAAGCAAAGCTGGAAATCATTGAGTTAATACTGCAGACAAATCTGAAGGGTAAAATCACAAATAAAATATGTACATTTATAAAATCAGCTTTCAGTTATTTAAATTAAATACTTAAATTATTCACATGCAAGGGTGTGACAAGACTTATATGCACACATAAACAAGCAAACAATATGTACTCTTTATGTCTTCGCTTATCATATTTATCCCACAATTTACAGAGCAAAAGAACAATTTACAGAGCTGCTTTTACCCAAGTTGTTGATTTAGATTTTAAGGGTGGCCAATCAGACATCAAATTGGGTCAGTGTCTGGCTCCACCTTTGTGGCTCCCTTGGCCATTCATCCCTTTTTAATAAAATCTAAATTGTATTTTTCAAGGATCCATCTGGACACTGTTACGGTTTCAAAACTGAGCATTTTAAGTCTGTGTGAACAAACAGTTCCACCTGAAAAACAAGAGGAACCTGACCGTGACAGTTTCTTTATTCATTTTATCACCAATCTGGAAATGTGTGGCATTTTTGGCTTTTTCACAAAAAAGGCTGAGCGAACCAGGATGAAAATCTTCAAAAATAAGAAACCATTCAGCAGCTTCAAAAAGAGAATTAAGACAGTTGTGATATTTTCCAATTTACAAGTGGCAACATGGTGAAAAACAGCACAAAGAAAACCTGTCACCAGCTAAGAGGAGGGAGTGTTGTGTTGGGTGAAACATCTGGATATATTCTTGTTGGACCTTTAGTAGTGTCTCAATCGTGAAGTGATCTGGGATGAGATGTAGCAATGGTCCGAAGACTGGATCAAAAATATGGTCCGTTAACCCAGTTTACACTCTTCATCTTTGGTCTACAGCTTTTCTGCACCAATCAGTGCATTTGCAGCCGAGCGGGTGGGCTCCTCAGTATTTTCTTGGTGACAACTGCCCTCTGTGATGCGGAAAGACATTATCGACCCCCTCTATCTCATGATAAAAACCTCTGCGCGGGGCCGTGACAGGGGTCAGTGTCAGGAGAGAGGGGTGAATGTATAAGTGGATGGGATAGATTGAAGGATAGGAAGGTTGACTCCAAAGGGTACTTGCCGTCAAGACGCGGCTGCGTGGCCACCATGGTAATGTCATGTATACACTCTTGTCATACACGCAACACAGACCCCAAAACTTGTGGATTAGCCGTGACCCCCTCCTCTCACTTCCTACTGTAGCTCCTACAAGAGTAATTACACTTTTTCAGCGCGGCATCCTCTCTTAAGAAGATAAAAATTTAATAATCAATCTCGTCCCCGTGCAGTGCTTGACTTTGGCGTGATACAAAAACATAAATCAAAGTGTATTACAGATGGGAGGGGGTTTGGCGAAACTTCACATCCAGACTTTTGTTGGTTAATAGGTTGCATTAAGCCCATCAAGTGGTGTGGTGCGTGATAAGCAGTCTCGCGGGCCCAGTAGGGGCCTGAAGAAGCTCTTGTAATGAATGGTTGGAGCACTGCTGATGCACGGCAATCATTAACAGCCTGATAATTACTCTGGATACCTCGGTGGATTGTGTGCATGTGTGTGTGTGTGTGTGTGTGTGTGCGCGGCACAGATAGAGCCATTACGATGTGTGAGGCCTCCGAGAGGAACAGATAAGCACTGGGTTTGTGTGTGTTTTGCTTTGCTGGTTAACATATTATGCGAGCGTGAGTGAGTGTGTGTGTGTGTTTGAGAGAGAGTGAGAGTGTGTGTGTGTGTGTGTGTGTGTGTGTGTGTGTGTGTGTGTGTGTGTGTGTGTGTGTGTGTGTGTGTGTGTGTGTGTGTGTGCATGGCCTAGAAACGTCCTACTCTGGCTTTGTATTTATATTCATGCTTACAATTGCAAATATGAGCATATCCTCTGCTGCTTACTGTGAAGGTATTTGAAACTGTCTCCGTTAATGCTCCTGTTAAAAAAAAAACAACAACGCTGGCCTGATTAAGGAAGCATGATGGATGCTGGGTATTAAGGTTTCTGTAAGGAATGATAAGATTTCCTGCAAAGCCGCCATTTTCTATTTTTTCCTCTTCATCTGACATCAAAACAATGTTGCATACAATTTTCGTGTTCAATTTTAAAGCCCCTCTTTTCCTGACAAATTTCCCCCCAAATCGGCACAATCAGGACAAACGTTCGGCTGTCTGCATGCGTTGGTATTCAAACACTGACTTGTTTACTCGCCGGCTTCATTATTATTCGCTTGCTTTTTTGTCTTGCTGACCAAGAAATGTCTCTATGGAAACCAACCCATCACCGAGCCATAGTGACAGCACAGCATAATGGACTAATAAGCAGAAAAAACACAATGATGTTCTTATGTAGCTCTCAAACAGCTCTTAATGAAACAATGGGCACCTTGCTGAAAGAATACAAAACATTAAGCCCCTGAAGGGCTGGAATAAAAACCCCACTTATCCATGAATACATATTTAAAGTGGGCGACGTTCTCTAATTAGAGCAGCCGCTCTGACATCAAGGGTGCTCATGTTTGTGGGTTTTCTGAGAGGGTTAAACAGACACTATAATGACAGGTTAGAAAACATGTTTGTGCAACCAAACCATGGCACTGACGTCGTCTAAAATTTTTAATTATTCCAAGAAACATAAGCTGCTTTTGAACGTACAGGATAGTACTTGTTAGACAGCATCAGTTTTTAGCAGGCCTTTTCTTTAGCCGTTTACCTCCTTAGCATTACAATGCTAACATTGACCCTTATTCCCCTCAACAAGCTAACATGAGCTTAATGCCTGCAAAAAAATATTAATAACATACTCTGCCCTTTAAAATCTGGGCATATTTTGCATTAATTGTGGTAAGTTTAGCAAGTTAAGCTAACTCGCCCCTGATCTTTCGGTCAAAATTGATTTTATAGGACACAAATTTGGCAAATTACAGGAGCTAGCTGTTGCTATAGCTGCTTAGCTTCCTGGCGAATCCACTTAGTTAGCCATTCCTGTTCAACTTCTCAACAAAAAATGTAGCTAAGTACAGTTAAGTCAGTACAGAAAACTTGCAGGTGCTAGTTAAACTGAAGGGCTCTGATTGGGGAGTTCAAAATTACTGTACCCTGTAAGCTAGCAAGCTAAGCTAGGTAGATACTTAGGCGGTTCGACTTGTTCCTCTCCAGAAAGCATACACTTTATAAACTACAGTGACCAGCAAATATTTGTACTGTTTATCCATAACATCATACCACCTTTTTTAGTTATTTCAATAATTGCTGAGTCATCCATAGATGGTTGTGATGCTAACAGGCTAAACTCACAGTACTAGATATGTTAGGCCTCTTTATTTACTTCATTTACTTTACTTATTTACTTTTTCCCCTCAACAAGCCTTTATGCGCTTACTGCCTATGAAAAATATTAATAACATACTCTGGCCTTTTAAACATTCAAAACCTGAGCATATTTTGCGTTAAATTTGGTAAATTTAGCAAATTAAGCTAACTCGCCCCTGATCTTGCGGTCAAACATGATTTTATAGTACACAAACATGGCGGACGACAGGAGCTAGCTGTTGGGGAGATTAAAATTATTGTACCCTTGAGCTAGCAACCTAAGCTAGCTCGCATTCTATTCAGTAAACAAAGATACTAACGTGGTCAGGCTTGTTACTCACCAGAAAGCATACACTTTATAGACCATAGCGACTAGCGAATATTCATACTGTTTTCCGTAACATGATACTCACTTTTTTTGTTATTTCAATAATTGCTGAGTCACCCACAGATGATTAGCTCCACTGGTTGTGATGCTAACAGGCTAAACTCGCAGTACTAGGTATGTTAGGCCTCTTTATTTACTTCTAGGTTAGATTTAAAGGATTACAGAGCAACATATCGCGCACAGTATGAGGCAAACTGCCAACAACGTTAGCCTAAAACCAAAAACTGTATTTGGTTTGATGTACAAACATGTTTGTTTTCGCCCAACTTCAACAGATAATCTCTTGGTCTCAGATCTGTTCCAGTTTCGGTCGACACATTGACAAGGATTTGGGTTTGCATATTTAATCTCAGAACAAAAAAAAAACCCCCAAAACAATAGATTGTCATATTGCACAACACTCCCCTCTCAGTCACCTCGAGTTCAGATCAACAATGCTGCAGCGCTTTGTTTTATCATTCCAGGCGCCGATGTTTGGCCTCCGTCCAGAGTGGTGTTTCAGTGATTGAGAGCCCAAACAGTCCTGGCCCGCCCTGTGTAGTTTAGTCTACCGAGGGGTAATTGAATAGCGCGAGGCTGCAATAGCATTGGACTGGAGGAATGCTGAGCTGCAGGGGAATATGGAGAAGGTTTCAGCCAGCAGCAATTAAACAGAGAAATGATGCGTGAAATAGCAGGGAGGAGGAGGGTGTTAGTCAAGTGAGAGTAAAGACTGTAATGGGGTGCA